TTCAACTCCCCCCCCCCCCCCCAATTCTCTCCCCCATCCCACTGGGGGCAGGAGGGAGTGAGCGAACGGCCGTATGGTGTTTAGCTGCCTGCCGGGTCAAACCACAACAATAACCTGTTGGACTGTGCTTTGATTCCTACCCCCACCCCCTGCAAGATCTCTCTCCAGTAGAAACCAGACAGCTGTAGAGGAGAGAAGGAAAACAGCAGTAAGCTTTAGTTCTTGTCCTTAGTATGAGGAAATGGCTTGGGCACCCACCGGCACCCAGGAAGCACACCTGCTCTCCCACAGCGCTGACACAACCAGCAAGAAACCCATTCAGAAGCCAGTGGGGATACAGAGGAAAAACATCAGAGAGTTCAAAATGCTAAACTTCTAAGTATAATCATCTTGTAGAAAAAGAAGACAAACCATGATATGAGTCACATAATTCGCAAACTATTATTTCCGTATGTATGGACAAAACAGGTTTTCTTTGAAAACGTTCATGACATTCTTCCTTGTTAAAACTCACCAAGAGCAATTCCATAATTCTATGTATGGACCTCATTTAAAGATACCAAAAAGGCATTCTTACATCATCACTTCGAGAATGTGCAATACACCTCATGTTTCAACTTGGCTCCTACTTAGGTTTCTGATGACTGTTCTTCTCCCGGCTCTGAGCTTCTGCGAGGCATTTCCAGCCTCTAGCGAGCCTGCAGAAGGAACAATGACAGAGTACTGCGCATGTCTGAAAGCGTAAGATTGCACACAGATCACGCATGCTGAAATGCCAATAGAAAAAGCTGTTACGAGTGGCCTTATTTGCCAACCATGGGGTTCATGCAAATACAGCACAGGAAATGGCTGTCCAAAGTTAAACAACCTTGCAGTGACTTCTACAAGTATATATGAAAGCACATTTTACAACTGCAGTCCTACTCTGAAATGAACACAAGTTTTCCTCACGCACAGTCAGTTGATGAGAAAAATGAAAATAGTAAGTTTAAAATATAATTATAATCCACGGTTTAACTGCTTCAATTCTGCATCTGAAAGCTTCTAGTAAAGATATGTATCTTATAAAGTCTTTTAAGACATTTATTTTCCAATTATGACCTCTTTGACCAACTGTCAAAGAAAGCACAAAGATTACTTGTATGTAAATGTACCTTTTCTGAAAGGTACACATTTCATAGGATCCACTGCTCACTGACTGGAACACAGGGCTGTCTGAAACAGACGCCATCTTCTTAAGCAGAGAGAATCCTAGAAATTCAGCTATTTTAAATCACTCTTCTGTGTAAATTCTGAAAAGGCAGTAAATCAGTAGAGGCATGTGAAATCTGCATGCCTAACACTTTTCCGTTTTATCAAATGAAAGTAGCACATTTTATTGCACGTCAACTACAGCAATTTAAAAAACCCTCCTCTTATTTCCTTAACTGCAAGATCCTTAGCCATGTCTGTTTCTTCTCAGAATCCCTCCCTCTCCTTAAATGCCTGCCTTCTGTAGTTTTACTTGCCATATGCCAAGCTCTTTGGCATGTTTTTTTTTTTTTGGCCTTATGTGTGACCCAACATCTCTTATCAGACAAGGCGATTGCTATCAAAGGTGCAGTTTTCAGAATGGAAAGTGGCCTGGAGTGCCAGTTACCAGTTTCTCTGGTGAGATATAAAGTTTCCTCCAGCTTTGCGAATTGCACTTAATTATTAATGTCTAATCGACATCAGCAGTAGTAACAGAAATCAACAAAATCTGCTTGCTGGCTGATAAAAAAAAAAGATACTGTGTTTATCAAAACATGTTATCAAAGAAGAATAGGAATATTACTTGAGCAATCAAGCCTGCTGTTAAACTTCACCGTGGGGAAAACTATCTATTCTGAAACAGCAGTCGGTACATACACCTGTAAAACGTGCCCCGTCACACCTTTTGGGCCTTCATCCGAATGCCTTTCCAACTCATTTGCTCTAGAAAATATTGACCTTTGGAATTTCGAATATTCGGATATCATACCAGTTCCCCAAATACCGAAGTATTTATATTGGAGTCACTGGCTTTGACTTTATCACGAACACACCATGCCGGTGCTGCGGAACGGACTGTGGCTTGCTTTGCCCGCAGGCGACTCTGCGGGAGGACACGCTCCAGAAGGCGACAGCGGAGCCGGGACAGACGTCGTGCCTGCACGCCGAATTGAACCGGGTCTCTCGCGTGCGCGTCCTCCTCCCCCTCCTCCGTGCAGGTCCCTTCTCGCCAACGCCTGTTCCAGGAACGCTCCGGAGCACACACCTACGGACTCTGGCATCTTCGGGCGCCACGCAGCGACACCGTGAAGAGAACTTCCTGCTGACCTCTCGTAAGGGTGGCAACAGGCTTCACCGGCGACAGCAGCC